CCCCAACTGAGAGATTGACAAATCTCCATAGGGATTGAAATCCACCTGTAGAGAGGTTATTTCCGTCTGACTCACTGAGACCGAAGGAATAACTGACGAGGTCTCGAGTGCAGCTGAGCCCAATTTATAGCTGGAATCGAGGCAGTCACCACACCCAGAAAGTCTCAATTTCCCGCATAGAAAGGGAGTTTGCTGTCAATGCAATCTGGGATAACTCCAGAACCCTGGTGACCTTCTCTGTGAGAAACAGCCTTTGCAACACAGAATCTGATAATCCAGAAAAACTGCACTGAGCCAGATCCAGGAAAGACTTTTCCAGATTTAGGAGCCACCCCAGATCTATCAGAAAACCTGTTTGTCTACTGAAGGTCCCGTAAAACTTCCTCTGCTAAGGGTGCATAAATGAAAAGGTCGCCCAGAAAGGGAATCACAGAGCTTAATTTGAAGGTGCAAAAAGGCCATGCCCTCTGCTAGAACCTTGGTAAAGATTCTCAGGCTGATTGGCAAGGCCCGAAACTGCCCAACAGATTCCCTTTTCTGTCCGCACTGCGAATATTAGCAACCTCTCATGCTCCCAAAAAAAATGTGAACGTATCTTTTAAATCCAGGGTGATCATAAACACTGATTTCAGGAGGATTTCCCTTACCGAGTACTTCTTGAAAACTAGAAATTGTCAACTTGTTTAAGATCATCCTGAATTTCCCATCTGGTTTTGACACCAGGAAGATATAGGATTAAAATCTCTGAAAATGCTGATCCTCCTGCACTGGCACCATCACTTTCTGTGATGTCAGGGACCTGATACACTCCAATGCAACTGCTTTCCTTTGGTCTTTCGGCAAACTGGTCAAAAAATAAAAGTTTGTGGGGGACAGTTACAAATTCTAAATGTTACACCCTACTCTCAACACATTAAGAATGAACGGATAAGTCTGTGATCCTCTCCCGCTGATGACAGAAAAAGGGAAGTTCCAGTCCTAATGTTACCTGTGTCTTCAAAAAGGAAAAAAAAAAATCGCTGTTTGAGAACTGAGCTAAAACTGTATTAAGCTTTGGACATTTGAAATACTTCTCTTAACCCTCCTTACTAAAAAGGGAATCTCCTTTTCCAAGCTCTAAAAAGGTACAAGAATTTCTTATCTGGATCTTTCCATTCTCCACCAACCAAATCCCTAAGGGATTGATAAATAGGAGAGATCTAGAAATGATTGTCACCAGCACACCAAAAGTTTTGAAGCAAAAAGTTCTTTATTGACAAATCGCCATCCAATACAAGCGCTTTCAGGGTCTCAGCAGTACCCCTTCATCAGGCTCAGAATGACACAGTAAAGCAAACCATCACCTTTAAATAGACATACCAGTGCATAATTAAAACAGACCACTCCCACCAGTTGCAGCTGGAAAACCGTATATTCCCGCCATTCTGCACTCAAATGAGGCTCACCTGTAATCCACTAATGTACACAGCGAGTTGTAATCAAATTCACGAACTTAGAGGCATGGTTGTTGAACATGTTCACATGCATCCCAGGAGTGGTGACAGGGCAAAACAACTTCTTAGGAGAGAAGCCTTTTGGATCTATACGCTGGATTGCGTCCAACCAAGGGGCCTAAATTCCAATCTTGCACTCTTGCTTTTTGGATGACAGGTAAAACCCTGATTGGATTTCTCTACTGACTATGCTATGGGTAACTGTTTGTTTGTCCTTCTCTTCCTTTACTTATGGAAACGATAGGATTTATATCTAATCAATTATGGTTCTTCAGTGGGCCTTGAAACGCACTGGCAGCTCTGGGTGACCTTTTATCTCACTTCCTTCTGTTTGCTCTGTCCCCCGGATGGTACCTGCAACAATGTTGTGTGTACCGTACCGCTTACCCATCCCTTCCTCCGCCCCCACAACTACACCACCCCTCTCCCACACGCCCGACTACTTGCTCCTCAAGGTCTTGGGGCGTGTTGCTTTTGCCTTTTTTCTGCATGCTCATAATTTTTCATGAGGACCAAAAAGGGATGTTTCCAGATTGTTATCAATGTATATGCAATAATGTTACTGTCCTTAATGTTGGACATATAGGATTTACGGTCTTCTTTACCGTTTTACATTCCCGTGTGCTTGACACCATAACTTATGGCTCAAATGTATTCTTTTATGCGATTATATATCAATACAACGTTAAATGATGTGTCCCTATATGAATATGCTTCACATGTTTACTCCTGTGGGCTTATATGTGCACCACCAATGTCAGCATAATCTTATCCTAATGTGGATTGTTATTGGGGAATGTCTTTTGCCTGCACTGTTGCCGCGCTGAGACCGGCGTCGCCCTCAATCAGATTATGCTTATGACTGCAGTTCGCTTCTTGTCCACTGTGCATGACAGCGTCCTGTACCCTAGGCAACCAGCTGATGTTACTTCCAGCTAACGGCCATATCATTACAACTCGCTGTGTACATTGGTGGATTACAGGTGAGCCTCATTTGAGTGCAGAATGGCGGGAATATACGGTTTTCCAGCTGCAACTGGTGGGAGTGGTCTGTTTTTAATATGCACTGGTATGTCTATTTAAAAGGTTTAAAGGTGATGGTTTGCTTTACTGTGTCATTCTGAGCCTGATGAAGGGGTACTGCCGAGACCCAGAAAGCGCTTGTATTGGATGGCAATTTGTCAAGAACTTTTTGCTTCAAAACTTTTGGTGTGCTGGTGACAATCCTTTCTAGATCTGCATTGTTCACGGGGCCGTCCGTGGTCACAAGCACCCACCTGCTTGGCAGGTTTACTACAATTCCGGTAAGGAGTGCAGCTGGTTCTTGACTACATGATAAATAGGAAAGACCCTGGACTGGGGCACCTGTAAGCCTCTATATACTATCCTGAACAGAGAGCTTTAGGAGGATCTTAAATCTGTTCTGTAGCATAAATGGCCTGTAATAGAGAATCCATGTCATCCAGGGAAAATAAGTGTTTAGAAAGGCGAGAATACTCCACCTACTCCATGGTCTCTCCCTTCTCCATGTAACAAATATTTGATGGACCCCAGTACTCTGCCGCTGTATTCTTCCTTGCTCAGGAGATATTGTAACCCTCTGATCTTTAGCTCCCAGTTTCCCCAGTCACTAGTCGAGACCCGGAGGTAGGGTGAAACAAACTGCTTTATTGAGAAACTGCGCAACCTTTTATACAGAAAGTGATCAGATTATAATCCCATCACATCCACCCTGCCCTCCATAGACCTAACTGCACAACCCAGCAGGGGTCCACCTGCTAAAGAGCGCCAGACTGCCATAGCAGGAGCCTGGCCTGTCATTGTCCTGAGCTCCTTCAGAGTACAAAGGTCAGTGCTGACAGTCTTTTCATAAACAGGTTGCCCAGTATAAGATAATTAAACATAACCCAAAACCAATACACATATAACCCATAAACTGATGACCATGTTGTCACAATGTTATGTGGGCAAAACTAAAAACCAAATGCGGATGCGGATTGGTGAACATTTAAGGGATATTAGTAGGTCCGTATAGGCCTCTCGTCTATTTGTGTGGAAAGAATAGATGTCTGGATGAATAAAAGGTATACGACTACGTGGATATGGAGGTGTCAAACGCAGATAAGGTGATTTACACAAGAATGTTTTATATTCACCACAATAGCCCATGTAAGGGTTAATGGAGGAGCAGTAGGGAGTTACTCACCGTGTGGAATTCCTCACCCCTTACGTCCTGATGACCAGGGAGTGGCCAGGTGAAACGTGTAGACATGGGTTCTGATGTCCCCTGCCTCTCTCACCCAATATGCTGATGGGAGGACTTCCTTTGAATATTGGAATCGAATAATGGCCATATTGTTAAAAAATGGATTAAACCCGGCAATCTATGCGGGAAGGAAGAGTTGACCCCATGGGGAGATCAACAGCTAGATCCAGTCGCAAGGATTGATGTTCTTTGAAAGATTTCACCTGGGGATCCGTGAGTAAAGAACACAGCATCAAACACAAACTGTATTGCCTGTATGTGATGTTGGGGAGTGAAGGAAGGCAGCGGAAGCCGCGTTGTATACTCCTTGTTCGGAGGTAAAACCACAGATACATTTGGATGCTATGGTGATGCTGGGAAGTAGAGTATCGTGATATCTATACGGAATGGAATGCATTTAATTTATATTTAAACTGAGTGCTCCGTGACTGTCTTTTATTGAAGTTACAGCGAACATTTTAATAAACTAAAATCAGACTGTCGCGCACTAGCCTTGTAAAGTCTGACACAGATGGAATTACTGTGTCCCCAATTATGAATGAATGGGAAGTGATCTACATAACCTTCTGTTCATTAATGATTGTGGCTATAGTAAACAAGTTATGAATGAACAGGAACACTCAGTATAGAGGATTCCTGTACATTTATAACAGGGGCTGCAGAAAAAGAGATCGAGGACTGTGTCCTCAATCTCATTCCATTTTAAAAGGGAAATATCAGGGGTCTGTTTACACCCCAATATTTCCCTGAAGCCCCTAAAAGTAAAAAATAAAAATATTTAATAAAAATAACATTTGAAAAAGTTAAACATTTTCTGTTTTGGCCTGACATTTTTTTCATTTGGGTTTGGTTTCTTAAATTTTAATTTCGGTGCACCTCTACTTTAAATAGGTTGAAGAGCGGTATAGAGCACAATAATTTATAGCTCATTAATAAAGTTATATTTTTGTATATATTTGGAAATTTCTTGTTTGGTCCTCATTACAACCACTATGGTGCTGCTTATTCTTAATAAGCAACACCTTTTCGTTTCCACATTTATTCTGCAGCAGCATAAAAGCAACAACGAGCTTAAAGCTAGAGGGTGAATGCAGCTGAAGGCATGCTAACCTGACAGCGGTTCTGTTCTGCAGTATGCCTAATGTTGGTGGCAGTAACAGGAGGCATAGTCATCTCTATAAACAATTAAAACATGTTTTTAGTTAAAGTAGCTATAGAGAAAAAAAAAACAAAAAACTTACCAATGTAAACTGTCCAAGAAGTTTGTTGTCACTGGCCATTTCTCGCTCTCCTTGGCATACTTTAATTTCCACTTGTGTCTGTCCATCTGCAGCCGTAGAGAACACCTAACAAAAAAAACAAAAAAAAGGAGACTACAGTGTTAATTTACACAGAAAGGCCTGATGCAAATAGTCTGACACAGATGGAATTACAGGCTTATGTATTCCAGGAATTCCAAAAAAGAGTTGCAAGATCATTTAATACTTGTTCGAGAGAATTAAGGCCGGCTAAAGGTGTGTGAGGTGTGGGTGACCGTGGGTTTGTGTTATGACAACGTTGTAATTTCTTTAAGTTAGGGATGCACCGATATAAAATCGGCCGATGTTCGGCCAGGTGTTGAATAATGTCAGCATTCCTTTTAGAACATGAACCTTAGCCTGCAGTCACACCTGAGCAACATGAAATATGAACTATATATATATCCTAGGATTTGAGATGTTTGTCCGATGAGTATTTATGGTGTTTATCAATTTATGTTCAATGAAAATAGTTTTATTCCAAAAATTGCATTCACTATCATTCTATGTTGGGATCTCTGTTTAAAGGGGAAATAAGACTTTTGAATATTTAGGAGACCCACATAGATTATTTATTGTTACTAGTGTGCCCTTCCCCTGTGTATATACACTGAGTGGCCAGATTATTATGACCACCTGACGTTTGTAGGCAAATTAGCTATAATTTTGCGCTGAAGTTGTTAGAGGGCCAGACCATCAGAAATAGGGAAGCAGGTTGTTTACCACTACAGAAGAAGTGATTTTTTTTCTGAAGATATGGGTAAACAACGCGATTTAACAGCCTTTGAACGTGGGATGATTGTTGGCGCTCTGAGCCGTGGAGCGAGTATCGGCAAAACAGCGGAGTTCGTTAAATGTTCAAGAGCAGCTGTTAAGTGTTTAAAGACTGGACTGTCAGCCGAAAATCTGGGTCTGAACGTGCGAATTGTGGCCGTCAGCGACTAGTCAATGTTAGGGCAGAACAGAGTGGCAAGACTGGTACAAGACAACGAAGGGCAACAGTGCATCAAATTACTGCAGATCTTAATCAGGGATCCTCTTAAATGATCTCTGAACGCACTGTTCACGGTACACTGCATCATATGGGATATGGAAGCCAAAGGCCTGTTCGAACACCTTTGCGGTCTGCAGTTAACAAGATAAAACGTCTCCAATTTGCACAGGAACACAAGGATTGGACAGTAGAGCATTGGAAAAAAAAGTCAAGTGGTCCTAGGAATCACATTTCCAGTTGCATCATGCAGAGTGAGTATTTGGCGGGAACAGCATGAAAGCATGCACCCCACATGCATGAGTACAACCCTTCAAGCTGGTGGGGGCAGTCTTATGGTTTGGGGCATGTTTTCCTGGCATGATTTGGGCCCTTTAATTCGTGTGGAACAACATACCAAAGTATCGTTGTTGATCAAGTTCATCCTATCATGTTGATGGCTTCTTCCAACAAGACAATGTGCCATGCCACAGTGCTTGTATTGTGCAGGAGTGGTTTCAAGAACATGAGGGAGAATTTACCTTGCTTAGGTGGCCCCCACAAATCACCAGATCTCAATCAAATTGAGCATTTGTGGGACAAAGTTGAAAGAGCCATCAGGCAGCTGGTTCCACAACCATCAAATCTCACAGAACTGGACATTGCTATTCATCAGGCATGGTGTCAGATTCCTTGCATCACCTTTCAACAGCCCGTGGAGTCAATGCCAAGATGAATTGCTGCAGTATTGAAGGCAAAAGTTGGCCCAACGAAGTACTGATGGGGTGGTCATAATAATCTGGCCACTCAGTGTATAACTCTGCTTTACAAAGTTGCATAGCCAGGTTGAAAAAAGACAAGTCCATGGAGTCCAACCCTTAGAGAGGAGCAAATTAAT